TAGCAGGCCTTTGGGTTGAAAAATGCTTTGTCAGGCTGAGGAAGCACCTGCAGTTGGTATGTGTGCTGTTCCTGGATGGAAGGAATAGTGAAGAAGCCAGAGGCTGGCTTGCAATGAAGGCAAGAAAGCCAGTCAGTAAAAATGAAAATGGAGGCAACAGGGGGTGAGGGACAGTTTTGGGGGGCGTGGGAAGAGGGATGTAGCAGGTAAAAGTGGAGAGGTACCTGGGGAGTCAGATGTCTGGCAGGTTGTAGTGTGTCAGAATTCCAATGTCTATACTGAGTTCATGAATTTCTATACCTAAGAGGTTGGTGAAGTACATCCCCATGGGCTCGTCTGTGAAAAGTGGTTTGTAAATTCAAACAAGCACTGAACCTGGCTAACTTCATCACCAGAAGCCAACTTTCTACCACCCAAAATACACCAAATGGATCCAGAACATTCCATGACAAAACGTGCAAAACCTGCCAACAATATCTCCAGTATGGAGATATCTTCACAATATATATCTCCATCAGGGCACTTAGTGCCCTGATGGAAAGTACATAGGAGACACCAAGTAACAACTGCACACCATAATAGGTGCACACCAAAAATCTATCCAAGACAAAAACACCCAACTACCTGTCTCCAATCTCTCAGGCCTGATCCTCAAAGGGAATTTACAAGCCACCTCACTGGTGCCTCCTTCAGCTGCCTCACCAGTGCCTGCAAGTCTGGTGACAGCAGCTTGCCCCAGCCAGGAACATTGATCCCCTGGAACTTCTCCATTTGGTTCTAAAGTTCCCTTACTACAGGGAACACCTGGATAAGGAGGGCAGTGCCAGCATTGAGGCTCTTGGTGGCCTCAAGGAAGGGCTTGAGGACCACCAAGATCTGGGAGATATTATCCCACTCAGTTCTGTTAAGGGGGCTGCTGATCCCAATCTCCCCAAGCAAGGCCATCTCATTGATCGCCTTCTGTTGCTCCACCAGCCTCTTGTGCATCAGGTATGTGGAGTTCCACCAAGTCTCAACATTCTGAATGATTTTGTGCTGCAGGATGTTCAGCTCTGCCTGTTTGTGCCACAGCATCTTGCCCGCCTTGATGGTCTGGTGGAAGTAGCCTGCCACCTTCCTGCACTTGGAAATGAGCTTGCTAGTGGTGCTGGTGCCACTGTCCTGCTAAAGGTAGTGCATGCAGGTACTTGGTATGATGGGGCCACAAGCCACCTGAACCCTGGCCGCTCAGCTAGGGAAAAGGGCTGGCCATCCACAGCGAGCATCTACCCAGTGCTCTTGTTGATTTCACTCACCTTTACAATGTGCCCCCATTTCTGTCTGCCACTCTAGGGTGGCCTGCCTCTGCTTTGGGGGATGGGGGCTTTGGAGCGAGAGGGGGGCTTCTTTAAGGGCATGCTTCCACTAGTTCCAGGCTGAGGAGGAGCTAGGGCAAGGGGATAGTGCCTGTGGAGATGCATCAGCATTCCTTGTTTTGTTCCTTTGCCCCAGCTGGTTTTGGCTCACCAGTGCAGGCAGATAGCATATGTGGGATCATCTGCCAGCTCAAAATGATTCCAGACCACACTACCCGCTTGCTTCTGGGGTGTGGGTGCATGTGCAGATGCTGCCTTTCCCTTTCCTCAGCAGGCAGAGGCACAGCAACTGGAGGAGCGGACTCAGCTGAGCCACTGGCCTCCACAACCTGTACCTCAACCTCCTCCAAAGTGCCTTCTGGGGAAGGAGACCTGGCTCTAGGGGAAACTTGAGGGGTATTGAGCACAAACTCAGATGATTTCCCCTCCTTCACCAGACTTTCTCTTGGTATGGCACTCAGATCCAGCTCTTCCTCTGGCAAAGGAAGGCTCAGCATGGGGAGTGAAATGGGGGTGGAGCAGACTGTCATGCTGGTGCTGGTGCTGGTGCTTGTTGTTGTTGTGGTGGTGGTGGGGGTGGTTATGGCTGGTGCTCTTGGAGGCGATGTAGACTTGGGCAGTGGCACTGCTCTCCTCTCCTTCCTGCCAGTAGAACCGGAAGCCTCATGTCTGCTAGTTGTGGGAAAGAGGCTGTGTCTCAGTTTGGGAGGGTGTGCAGGGACTTACAGCTCTCCTTCTACCCTGTCTTCCACCCCTCCCTGAGGGCTTGCCAGCTGCTGTTCCAGCACACTTCATAGTGGGTTTCATAGTGGGTTTGGTGTGCTGGAAAATCTGTGTTTCCTTATGTAATGTAATCTGTATTTATGTAATACATGTATATAATTGTATGTATGTATTTATGTAATGTATGTATGCATTTATGTAATAAATAAAATATATAAATGTATGTATGTGTCTAATGTGCTTCCAGGTCATCGTTAGGGAGCCTCAGCCTGGCTGCGGCCATGGCTGACTGAGCTGTGCTGCCGCAGTGTCCCTATCTGTAGTGAATAATTTTGGGGTACACTGTTGTACATAGGTATTTCCCCAAATTGGTTTAATGATTGTTATGGTTAGCATCTGTTTACAGCTGATGTTAAGCTACTATGTTATATCATTTATATATTTGTAAATGACATGTGGCTTGACATAAGTTATATTTTATGCTATAGAATCTACATAGTTAATGAGTCATCAACTGGTTTATCAACAAGTGTAGCCAGTTTGATTAGTCAATGGCTAGTTCTTGCATCTTAGGTTAAGAAGCCTTGTTGAAAGGTAGTGAGAGGTGTTAACCTCAGATAAGGTGGTTACATTCCAAAAGAAAAAGCCCTTAGTAGGGAAAAGCCATTAGCCAGACCAGGCACCCAGGAAGAAGGGACTATATCATACAGAGATCCAAATTTTTCACTTTCTTGAATACAATGAAAGAATAACTAAGGAAATATGATTAGAGATTTATCTGTCAACAAGATCAACCTTATGCAAGGATATATATATTACTGTCCTCCTTGGATACAGTATTCAAGGAAGACAGATTTCTATCTAGAAACAAAATTGAATGCAAAGAATATAAATATTTCTGTCCTTGAATAGAATGGGATAGATAAGGGAGTATTGAGAGTTGGGATATTTAATCAGGAAGCCCTGAGAGGAATGTTTTGTTCAGGACATCAAGTCAGACAAGACTCACCAAGTCTGTGAAAAGAGAAAGGCTACAAGCTAGGCAAACTGGTGGAATCGTGTGGATAGCAATGAGTGTATTTAAGAAGTCAGCTGGACTCTGAGAATACCAAGAGAATGTTGCAGTTAGAAAGTAAGCATAACTGATTTCTGATTTTATTTCCTGGTATCTTTGTCTCCAAACCTTACTGATTCTTTCTCTGCTTTGTTACATGTCCTTCTGTCTTATGTAATAAAGCTTTTGAGATGCTGACAATTACAGGTGTACCATTTCTACAGAGACAGCAGATCCTCAATATTTTGCAAATCGGGGGTGAAATCCCATAAAGCTTCCTCTACTAGAGCTGCTAGGTCTGATCAGGGGCTGGGGAAAATGAAATTTGCTGGGGGTGAGGAGTTACTTAAAAGGTAAAATCTAGTCTGCTCCCTGAAGGCATGTAGGAGAACAGTGAGGAGAGGCTTGGGGATCTGGGGTCACCCCAACACTGTTTATCACAGTGTCTAAAATGGGATACATGTGCATTCACTCATAAAACAACAGCACTTCAGCCTTTACCACACAGTCTCTTTCCAGAGGGGTAATAGATTTTAAATTGCAAGTTTCATAGTTTCATAGTTTCTAAGGTCGGAAGGGACCTGAGCAGATCATCTAGTCTGACCCCCTGCCATGGCAGGAAAGAGTACTGGGGTCAAACGACCCCAGCAAGGTGTTCATCTAACCTCCTCTTAAAAACCCCCAGGGTAGGAGCCTGCACCACCTCTCTTGGAAGTTGGTTCCAGACCCTAGCCGCCCTGACCGTGAAATAGCACCTCCTGATGTCTAACCTAAACCTACCCTCTGCCAGCTTGTGACCGTTATTCCT